TGTCCTCTCCTTGCCCCTTGCCTCTATCAGAGCATGGTAGGTCCTTGAACTCACTATGTAGTCCAGACTGGGCTCTATCGCACAAACTTCTTGCCTCCATCTCCCTGTGCTGGGATTTACAAGCATACACCACCATGACCAGCTTTTCTTATTCTTATCTTAAATAATAATGTTGATATCTTCAAAGTCACCTAGGGCAGAATCTCAGGGAGCCACCATAGTGCTTCCTAATCAGATTCCTGCACCTTCAATCTCCTGACTGTCATTCAATTTATTTCATCTTTTCCATGTTCATGCCTTGGTCCAGGCTCTCTCGTCTCTACCCAACCGGGGCAGAATCTTTCTCACTGATCTTCCTGCCTCTGGTTTTCCCCCTTCTAATACATCCTCCACCCTGCAGCCATTTGATCTTTCTCAACTGATAATCACAACATAAATATAGGATTGTTATCCTAAAGTCAGACTGCCAGGATTCAAATCTGTAGGATTTTTGTGACCATGAGCAACTTGCTGATCTCCGCTTGGCTCAGTTTCCTCATCAGCAAAATGAGGAGAGCATACCAACCTCCTAGTTGTTACAGAGACTTTGGTTTCTTGCTCCAAAAAAGGCCCCCAATGAGCCCAACTTCTTGTATACATGCCCTGTAAAATTCCCTCCCATTGAGCATGGGCTGGACCCAATAACTTGCTTCTAACAAATAGATTATAGCGAAAGTGATGGGATATTACTTCCACCATTAGGTACAAAAGGTTGTGACTTCTATGTCACTCACACTCTCTCTCTCACTCTGACAACGCCAGCTTGCTCTGGGAGCTACCCTCTGGAAAGGCCCACATGGCAAGGAACCCAGGTGACCTCAGTCAGTGAGACACTGAATCCTGCCAGTATCAATGAGCTTGGGAACAGGTCCTTCCCTAAGTAAGACTTGAGACAAATCCAACCCTAGTCAACATTTGATTTCAGCATACAAGAAACCCTGAGCCAGAAGACTCAGGTAAGCTATACCTGAATTCCTGGTTTAGAGAAACATTTATTCCTGAATAAATGTTGTTCTAAACCACCGAACTTTGACATATTTTGTTATGCAGCAATAGATAACTAAAATGATTAAATAAAATAACATAAAGGGCTTAGAACAATACCCTGTGCATAGTCAACCAATATTGGCTAATATTTTCACCATCATTATTACCTGTGTAGACATTCTACAGGACTAAAATCTCTATGAGGTGAGGGATGATTCCAATTTATCTACTATATCTCAAGTTCCTAGCAGAATGCTCAGCCCAGAGTCTTTCAGGCAACAGTAAATACTCATTGACTGAAAGAATGAACAGGAAAGACTTAACTGGGTCCTCTAGACTCGTACCTCACAGGCCAAAAGAGGGACTGCTGAGAGTTGAGTGGTCTGACTGCCCAGTTTCTCCCTACAGTCAGAAGATGGACCAAGTAATTCTGTAAGGATTAACAATCTGAGACACAAGGTCCCTCTGGGGCCTCACAGCCTCCTTGAGTGCAGGGTGTATGTTTCCCAGAAGCAGTTGTCACAAAGCTAGCCTTTGTGTCTGTGCCACATTCCTGGAAGGCACAGCGAAAACAATGAAACCATCATCACCCACTTCTCTCCTGGCCTGCCAGATAGCTGTATCCTGGGCTGTGGACAGAAGGGGAGAGGAAAAGCTATGTTCTCCTTAGCTGAGTAATATCATTTATCTTGATGGCAGAAATATATGCCAGAGGGGCTAAACATAGAAAGTAATTCTCACCCAAAAGAGATTTTTAATACCCAGAGGCCAAGCCTTGCAGTAACAAAAAGATGCTGTATATCATCAGTTTCCCCATACCCCAACATTTCTTCCATCTCTGTATCATCTCCCACTCCTGCTTTAAGACTCAGCTCAAATGTCTCCTTCACCATGACACCTTCCCCAATATGCCAAACAAAGTTGCCTTGAGTTTCTGTCTTCCACTTGCTTGGTGCCTCCATTGATTGGGACATGCCAGGTCTTGTCTTGGTGAATGCATTGATGCCCTAGATCATGCAGGGCAAGTACTGTGTCTTATTGTTTCTGTATTCCCATCTCATCAGTGCTGACAAAGTAGGTGCTGATGCTGAATGAATTACAGAGTGTTGTTGCATTTGGGAACAGTGAACTAAATCTCTAGAAAAGCATTTGTTACCATTTGAATATGAAATGTCCCCCACAAGCCCCTGTGTTGAACACTTGGTCCCAGGCTGGTGTCACTATTTTGGGAAGTGGTGAAACACAGGAGGTGGGGCCTAGCTGGAGGAAGTAGGTCACTGGGGGTATGACTTTGAAGGTTGTACCTGATCCCCAGTACCTTCCTCCATCTCTGCTTCCTGTCTCCCATGAGGTGAGTAGACTTTGCCACACACTCCCACTGCTCTGATATTCTGCCCAAGCCCATGGGGACAGGAAACCATGGGATGAGCCCTCTGAAATTGTAAGCAAAATAAATAATTCCTCCCTTTAAGTTATTTTCCCAGGTATGTTGGTCAAAGCTACATAAAAATAACTAATATACATTCAACACCTTTTGCACAACAATGTGTGGAACAAAGGAGTTTATCCTAGAAAGAAAGTTCCGTGGAAGCTCTGTATTCTTTGGGGTAAGGAAATGGTGCTTATCAGAAGTGTCAGAAGTGCAGATCAGTATCAGTTGAGAGTAGAATTAATCTTTTTTAATATGGAAACCACATCCCTCCTCTGCTCTTGACAAGGAAGCTCCCTTATTCTAAGCCAGTCATTCTCAAAGTGCAGTCACTTAGGACCTTATTAGAAAATCAAATTCTTGCCAGGCACACACTGGTGGCTCCTGCCTATAATACTAGCTACTTGGGAGACTGAGATTGGGAAATGGAAGTTCTGTGCCAAACTTGTACAAATAATTCTCGAGACCTCATCTTCAAAATAACTAAAACAAAATGTGGCTTAAGTGGTAGAGTGCCTTCTTTGCAAGTGAGAAGCCCTGAGTTCAAACTCCAGTCCTGCCTGCCCCCTGCCTAAAATATCAAATTGTCAACCCCCAACCCAGACCTACTGGATCAGAAACTCAGGGGCCAGGACCAGCAATTTGTGTTTTCACCAACCCACCATATGATTCTGATCACACTTAAGTTTTAAAAACTTTCTAAGTCTACACTAAAACACATGTGAAAAGGCTTTAGAACTACAATCCAGACTGATTTAAGATTAAAGGAAAACCCAAGACAATGTCCTCTTACTATAAAATGCCCAGGATCAATGAAACTCGCCACTATTTTCCACAAAACAGTTCAACAGGCAATTAAATGAACTCAGCACATTTATTTTAAATGTGCAAAATGAATTTTCATATCCTAAGAGTAACACCAGATGTTTTACCTCTTTTTCCTGATTGATTTTCCAGCCTACAGCAATTCGTCTTTATATTTTCCAGTTGAATCCTAATGCAGCAAGAAGAGTGTGTTCCAGCAGGATTATTAAATCCCACGCATTTTAAAACAAGTTTAACTCAGGCTGCCATGCATCAGCTGAGTGTCTGTCTCCCCAGAATATAAGAAACAGACAGCTATAGGTACCAGGCAGATTTGGACTGGCAGGAAACCCAAAGAAGGCCCTCTCAGGTCGGGTCTCCAGATTCTTGGCTGGTTGCAGAACTGAGTCCTGGGCATTTCGCCCAAGCCTGAGCTCTTCCCCCGCCAGAGTCCTGCACTCCCTGGTACTGAGGGATTTGCTAGCTGTGAAACCTACAAGTAAACATTCTGTTTTCAATGGAAAGTTTTGTCTTTAAAATGTGGAACCAAGGGGCAAGGAGGGAGAGAAGGCTGCTCAAAGAAACAACCAACCTGTATAGACCCTGTCTTTCTGCTCCTGGTGGAACCCAAACAATCCCCCTCTGTTGACCAAAGTGTCCAGCCCAGCTGAGCTCCACCCCAGTTACTGCATGTTTAAGTGGGTGAAAGGTCAGTGCAGACCAAGTTTTCCACCCACAAAAGCTCTTTGGAGTCTGAGGAAAGACATGGAAAACAGAAGCCTTCACTCTGCAGCAAACAACTTCAAAGGAGGCCTCCCCTGGCAGAGCCCCTGCTAAGGAAAGGGAGGGAGGATGAATGGAAAGGGTGGCAACCAAGTGCAAGAAACCCAGAATGTGCTGATTAGAAAAACAAAACCACACTTCTTAGGTAGGGGGAAGAGGGTGGCAGGCCCTTCCCTGGAAGCTTCTGAATGCTGGTAGGTTTGAGCCCTTCTTGTTGGAGGAGGGTTTAAACATGGTCTCCAAGCACAAATCAGCCTGTCTAGCTCTGAGTACCACTGCAGAAGGCATGTCTGAAATTAGCGGTCCCCATGATTGAAATTCAAAACAGGGCTGTTCTAAATATAAATCACTACAACTCCAACACTCACCGTTCTGTCTAGTTTCTCCCTTCCCCATCCTTAGAATAAAACATGGACTCCTTCTAAAGACACATTCAGAGGACTATTCAGTAAGAAAGAATCGGCTTCTAATTGAAGGTTCTCCCCGCCCCCCCCCCCACCACTCAGCAGCTCAGGCTCCGCCCAAAGACAACAGCCTACAATCTCATGGGGCATTATCTAACCCCTAAATTCGGCCTGGTCCACACAAGTGATTAACGAAAAAATGTTACTCTAAATTTAAGATGCACAAAAGTCCAGAATAAACTTAGGACAGTTGAAGACATACAGAAGTAGTAAAACCAAGACCTTTGGCCCCACCTAATTAGACTACGTAGACATTAATTATGTCAAAGTTTTTTGCTCTGGGTGTGTAAGGAACCCACTCATCTTCCTGAGAAAAGTGACAGGAACAGCCCCGTCTCCCTGGGCCACCCAGCGTCTACCCCTTCCCAAAACAGATGTCATCTCTTATTTATTTTATGCACTATAGGGGAAACTGGAGTTCCTGTCAAGAAAGAATCTTACTGAGAATCACAAAGATGTTTTTACAGACTATTAAACCACAGGAGTCATTTATAAATGTCATCATCATAGTCTTTTAATATTTTACATAAAAAACTGTCTACACAGCTTATAGAACTTTTATGTAAACATCATAAGCTCACCACTTTATCATTTGTCAGTTTATTTAAAAAATAAAAAACAAGACAACAATTTAGTAGAAGTACCACTGGGCTGGGAAGGGAAAAAAGGAAATAGGGGAAGGTTTATTCTCTGTACAGAGATGCAGAGAAAATTTCACATAGCTGTAGAGGCTGCCTTGTGAAAAAAAAAAAGTTTTAAATAGACCCCAATACTTGTTACCTTCCTTTATGAAAATAGTGTGCGTAATCTGCACAAATAAAATCACAGAACAGTGTTGCCACTTTTTCAAGAAAGCAAAGCAAAAATTAGTGGGTGTTTTTTCCCTCTCATTTTAAAAGTCATTTTTTAGAAAACATCAGAAGTAAATGAGGTTACAGCATACAAGTGTGGTCAGAATGCTACTGTCTTATGCAAATGACAAGTGCATTAAGTGTCAAACAATGAAACAATTGTGCAAAGAATTCTTTCAACAAAAAAAGTTTCAGCCTTAAATAATCAAACATCAGTTTCTTGGACTGAACAATTTCCACTTGTAGAACAGGCACAAAGTTCGCTTATGGCAAAAACACCCCCTCGGCACACCCTCCCCCCTCCCACCACTGGCTGGTAAGGGGTTTGTTGGGGGGGGGAACAGTCCACAGGAGACGCAGTGTGTGAAGAATGCTTCTTCTCAGTCCCAAGTCAATTACAAATATCTTCCCCAGGGGTCCGAAAGAAGGCCAAGTCCAGTTCATGCTTGGATGGGCGCCTCATCAAGCCTGGGCTGGAGCGGATCTAGCGCCCTGGTCATTCCACTCACCACCACCATTAAATAACACCATCTTACCTCCGAAAATAAAATTATATCTATATTTATGTAACAGCCCCAGTCCTCCCCAACCCTCCCCTCCCGCAGTTCCCCGGGTCTATGTTACAGACAGGGAAATAGTAGGAGCTCGCTGGTCATGGGCGAACATCTGATGGGGCGCGGCCACTCTGGCGCCCAGTGTGCCTCTGGGGACCAGAAGCGAGGGTATGGTGAAAAATGGGGCGAACATACACACAACCATACACTCTTGAGGCCTGGCTCTTCAGAAAAGGATGCTCAGGGCCCCCCCCAGTGGCACTCAGCGGGGCGCCCGGACCAGTGGAACACAGCTGGACGCACACAGACACTGGGAAGGGGGCACCCGATGCCTACGCCAATTCTCCGCGCAACGGCAGACGCCAGGCAGTCCACTGGGGTCCTTGGAGGCGGGGATGTCCCCCTTCTCCCGGCTCGTGGGGGACGGGCCAGGGAGGGGCGGGCGCGGCCCTCATAGCACCTTGCAGCAATTGATGCAGCCGTTCTGGGAGCCGTAGCGCTTCTGCAGCGCCGCGCGCGTGGCGGTCTCGAAGACCTCGCGCACGCCCTCCTTGGTCTTGGCCGAGCACTCGAGGTAGTCGTAGGCTTGGATGCGCACGGCCATGGCGCGGCCGTCATCCGTGCGCACTGGCTCCTGCTTCATGCGGGCCAGCTCTGTGCGGACATGCTCGTCGCTGCGCAGGTCTTTCTTGTTGGCCACCAGGATGATGGGCACGTTCGGGCAGAAGTGCTTCACCTCGGGCACCCACTTCTCGGGGATGTTCTCCAGTGAGTCCGGGCTGTCCACTGAAAAGCACATGAGGATGACGTCGGTGTCCGGGTAGGAAAGTGGCCGCAGGCGGTCATAGTCCTCCTGGCCTGCCGTATCCCACAGCGCCAGCTCCACCTGCTTGCCGTCCACCTCGATGTCGGCCACGTAGTTCTCGAAGACGGTGGGCACGTACACCTCGGGGAACTCGTCCTTACTGAACACGATCAGCAGGCACGTCTTGCCACACGCGCCATCGCCCACCACCACTAGCTTCTTGCGGATGGCCGCCATGAGCGGGCCGGGCCCGGGCAGCAAGAGGGGGCCCGCAAACGCCTCGCTGCCGTCCCGCTCACCGCTCACCTCGGGCTGCGCGCCGGGGGCAAGGGTCACTAGCTGCACCCGGGCACCGCGATGGCGCGTCCTCTCGGTGCGCTCCGGCGGTCGCGGCGGGGGCGCGGGGGCATAGGATGCACCGAGCGTCTCGCCGCGCTGCTCCCGGGCGGTGGCTGCTGTTCTCGCCCCGGCCCTGGAGTCGGCGGCTTTGTGCGCAACGGTTGCTAGAGCTGCGGGCACCGTCTCTATGTCTCCCTCCCTCCCGGGGGGGTCCTCTACACCTCGCCCAATGGAGCCCTGACGACTACGGCCAGACTGCGGCGGCAGATGCGGGCTGCGGCCCTAGCGCCCGCTATTTAAAGAGTCCGGCCACTTTCTTAATATAGCCGTCCAATGGGAAGCTAGCCGGCTGAGCTCATCGCTGCGGAGCTTGGCTCTGATTGGCCGTTCGCTGCAGCCCGAAGGCGGAGCCGGACGAGCTTGATTGACGGCCCAGGCCGCGGGGCTAGGAGAGGCGGCGGCTGGGGAGTCTGCGCGGCGACAGGCCCCGCCGAGCTCTGTAGCCACCCGGGTCCCCGCCTTCGCCACAGCTTCTGCGCGCCGGGTCTGGGAACTGGCCGCCTGGGGCCACGGGGTCTGGGCGAGCAGTGCCGAGACAGGCGGCATTCTGTGGGGCGTTGGCGACTCCCTTCCCTTCCGAATTGCCCCGCTTCTTGGCAAACTCCCTGGCTGGTGGTCAGACCCGTGGGGGAAGGGCGGCTCGTTTAGCGCGGTTTTGTTTTTAAGTACACAGCCAGGGCGGAGGTGGTTTTTGTTTTATTTAGTTTTTGGAGGCGGCTGTGCTCTGGGCCGCTACCCCGGGCCCCCTGCGGCAGCGTAGGTTTGACTTCGCGTCGTGAGGGCCGGGCTGTGAATTGTGCGGCCCGTGAGGGAGCCGCCTCCACGCCTTGCTTACTGTCCTCGCTTGGAGGTCGCCACTCGTGTGTCCAGGTGAGGATGAGGAAAGACAGCCGAGGACGTTGCGAAGGGAAGACGGAGACCGGGTCCCTTCGAGGAGGTCGCCTGCCAGGGAGAGGCCGCTCTGCCCAGCGCTGCTGGCATCGAATCTGATGCTTGTCCTCGGGCCGGAGAAAGAAGGGCCTGAAACGAGAACAAAACACAAAAACAACCCAGTGCCCCAGGCCCCGTGGGCAGATAAAAGGCCTCGAAACCGGGAGGGTGAAGCGGAACTTCAGGCTGTGAGGATGCTAGGGCTCCCGTCCACTCAGTCCCACCAGGACTTAGTTCGTCCACCTCCCCATCCTCAGGACGGAGGTGATTCCTGCCGCCCCACCTGGGAGGGCCTAAATCAGCCCTTTGCTGTGGCCAGACGCGGTGGGCAGGGGATGGGGCAGTCAGGCCGGGCCTCCCGGGAAGGAGGAACAGTGGGACACTCTCACAGCAGGGAAGGGCTTAAGTGTGACTGCGCTTGAAAGCCGGAGGCCATTGACACTCAGAATGGGGCCATCATGGAGGACTACAACCAGGGTAGACTAAAGGGGCTGCGTCTGGGTTTTTCAGCAGAGGAAAGACCCCACTGTTGATGATAGGAGGTTATTGTCTTCCCATCCCTCTTACACGGTCAGTTGTCAGAGGGTCAGACTTCTGTCTCATGTCAACATCTTGAAGACCTAGCAACCATGGCTGGCCCTTTGAAAGAATCAGGTACTGTGATGGAGTCCTGTAGTCCCAGCCACCCAAGAGACTGAGGCAGGAGGATTGCTCGAGGTCAGGAGTCTGAGGTCAGCCTGGGCAACACAGCAAGAACTCCTCAGGGGAAAAAAAAAAAAAAAAAGTAAATGACTGTGAAGAGTTAACCCAAGTACTCAAGAACTCACTTGGAATTTTGTAGGGGGTTCTTAACTCAACTCCAGATTCTGCTTTAACAATCAACTGACCAAATTCATGCAACCATGTAGTGTTTTCACATACAATTTATAAGTTAAGATCTGGGTCTCTGTGTGGTTCTACAGGCATAATCAGGTCAAATAAGACAATGTTACTTCCACCAATTCTTGGCGCCCACCATAGAGGGAATGTCTTACTGGCAAACCAGGAAAGCTAGGCTCCCTCACACTTGCAAGGGAAGGACCTCTAGCCCACTACAAGGCCCAGCTTTTTATTTTGTTCTGTTTTTGTTTTTCAGACCTAAGGAACTGATCTGTGAGTAGCTACATAGTTTTGTTGTTCACTGATTTAGGGCTTCAAACTGGATTTTTTTTTTTTTTTTAGCCTGTTAGAAAAGTCTAATCTACACATGTTTTTCTTCTTTTAGTCAAAACTTTTTATGGCTGTATTGTTAACACTGCTTTCCTTGGTCTTAATTTAGCTTGGGAATCTTGGCTGTGGCCTTAAGTTTCAAATATTAAGAAAATATAAAACAATTAAATCTTTGTACCATGTTTTTTTTAAAAAAAATTAAATACAAAGAACCAGGAAAAGGGATTAACTTCCTGATTTTCAGACATACTATGTGAGGTGTTCCAAAGTTGAATCTCTACATCAAAATAATTGCTAAAAATATGAGGACTGGCAAATATGCCAAAGTAAACAAATAGAAAAATCCGTGTCCTGCAGCGGCTTCTTTTCATGGTATTCATTTTTTTGCTCATGATACTTGGACTAGCCCAACAGAGACTGGCTGCTTCAAAGACCACAAGGCTCTAGGATAAACTTTTCCAAACTAGGAGATGTGCTGCACAACCTACTCCCTGCCCGCTCATCCTTCATAGTTTACTGCTGAACGGCAAGGGTAAAATCTAATTCTTCCAAGAGACAAATCATTTTAATAATTTTATAAACGTATAGATTCATTGTATAACAGATAACATACCCACACCAGTGGGAGAGGGGGAAAATTATCTTTCAGAAAAAAGAACGGTATTAATCTATTTCTGATCTTCAACCTAATTTACTTACCCTTTGTTTATTTGTTGTTTTTTGCCCAATGTCTCCTGTAAATCATTCCCCCTCCTCGAAGACCAGACCAGATATTGGAATTTTCATTAGATTTTAGTGCCACCTTGTGGCAATCTTTGTGGTTTTTAAAAAAAAAACTTTAAAAGCAAGCACTTTGTGAATATTTTTATTTTAAAATCTTTCACAAGATGTCAAATTCTACAGAATGTTTTAAGTAGATTCTTTAAGAATTCTTTATGCATATATTTACACAGACATAACCTCACTAATTTACAAACTAGTGGGCTTTATTCTCCCTTAATTATAATGTGCAGAAATGTAAAACAACTTTAATCACAAAGATCAACTAATTTTTATCTAGTTAAGAAAGCCATTGTTGGACACTCTGGTATAGTCAGAACTAACAATGACTCATTTACCAGTAAGCATTTACTGGGAACTAGCAATGCATTAGATATTCTTGATAGCCATTGGATTTTTTTTTTTTCCTAATTTAAGGAGTAGCTAAAGTCTCTAAGGAAAATTTCAACCTTCCTCCTCTATGTAGTGATCTTTAAAAATGAAAGGGTCTTCTAGAACTAGCTATCCTGTTTCACATGGATGAACCCATGCAATCCTCTGATCCATATGGAGCCTATTCAGCCAAGAGTTACACATCTGAGGAGCCCTTTCTGGGCTGCCTTTTGGGGTCTCCAGCTATGTACAACAGCAGGTAAAGTAGCCCTCTCTGGCCCTGAACTTGAGACCTAGTGCAACCCCAAGATGAGAAGGAGAAGGCTGGGCTCACAGGACACTGCTCCACCTACACTGTTACACTTAGGAACACGGACATTTAACTCTGACCTGACCTCTCTATGTCTAGCCCAGGACCAGGCCAAGGGGAAAAAGGATGAGCAGGGGGCAGCTCTTTCACTGTAATTGCAGTAGCCACTAACCACATGTCACCTGAAATGTCACTAGTGCCACTGAAGAACTGAGTTTCTAATTGTTACTTAATTTTAGTTAAATTTAAAAACTGATATTCAATTCAGCTACTGAGAAACCAAGGTATGTTTACAATGAATTGGCTAGGTGAATCCACTTTTGATGTATTTAGATATACAGATGGCTTTCCACAAACATTTAGCAACTAAATGAAGATGTGATATGACTATAAAATAACCACTAGAATTTGAAGGCTTAAATGGAAAAATAGGTAAAATAGTTCATTAACAATTTTTGTACTAATTACATATCATGATGGCAATACTTTGGATGTAGTGGGTATATTTTTAAATACATGAGATTTAACGTTAAATATATTTAGATATATTACACAATCATTTCACCTTTTTACATCTTTTAATGTGACAACTAGGAAATGTAAAAATATGCATGGTTCACATTACATTCCTACTGGACAGTGCTGCTCTCAAATGTCTGAAAGTTCGAATGGCTCCCTAGATCCTCTTGCTTAACTGTCATCTCAGTACATCACCTGTTGATCTTCCTGCCTCTGCCTGTAAGTTTTTTTTTTTTTTATGTGAGACTGGGGTTTGAACTCAGGGCTTCTTCTCACTTGCAAAGCAGGTGTTCTACCACATCTCTTTTCCATTTTACTCTGGTGTGTTTGGAGATGGGATCTTAAGAAACATTTCCCCCAGGTTGGCTTGGGGCCACAATCCTCCGTATCTCAGCCTCCCAAGTAGGATTACAGGCATGATCCACCTGTAGGATTGATTACAGGCATGATCCCAAGTAGGATTACAAGCATGATCCACCTAGCTGTGAACTCACCCCTGGATTTCAGAGCAGCTCAGATACCCAAAGGAACACTAAAGTTGAGGAGAGCAGGGGAGGGGAGTGGAGGAAAGGAGAGGGGAGGAGAGGAACACACACACACACACACACACGCACACACACACACACACACACGCACACACACACACACGTGCACGCTCGTTCTCACTATGTTACCCAGACTGGTCTCAAATTCATGATCCTCCTTCCTCAACCTTCCAAGCAGCTGGAATTACAGGCATGGCCACCACATTCAGCTTCCTCCCACTCCTTTTAATCTTCCCTCCAGTCACCCCCTCTTCACAGCATCCCTCTTTCATCCCCAACAGTAGGCAGTGTTTTCCTGGACAGTAGAAGCTGTTTGGACATTTTTGTATTTGACCTATTTTCCTTTCCAAAAAAATATTATCAAAATCTCTTGTCCTTGTCCTTGTCTTCTTGCCTAAATTACCTATATTTCTCCATCTCTGTCTATGAAGAAAGCTTGTAAGCTTCTAAACTTTGCTGGGTTTTGTACCCTGTGCACAGTAAATAAGTTTGCATGCCTTTTTCTCTTGCTGGTCTGTCTGATCACTTCAACAAGCCTT